GCTTGGCCTTGCTTGGCCTTGCTTGGCCTTGCTTGGCCTTGCTTGGCGTTGCTTGGCTTTGCTTCGCTTTGCTTGGCGTTGCTTGGCTTTGCTTGGCTTTGCTTGGCTTTGCTGGGCTTGGCTTTGCTTTGCGTTGGTTTGCTTTGCTTGCTTGCTTGCTTGCTTGCTACTTTTCTTGAAGCGCGGCACAAATCAGCTGGGGATTTGGGAGAACTTGCCACGCAAGAATTGGTGAATTGAGAAACCTAGCGAACCCTTGATCGTTTTTCTGGTCAGGCGGAACCCTATTCAGCGGGAACTGCCAGCTGGCTCTTTGTCTTCCTAGCGTGTGGCTCTGAGCAAATGGTGGAGCACCTGTCACTCAGATGCAGATCTTAGAAGTTTGGAGCTTTGCATCGCTGGGGAATACCATTGCATCCGCTCCCACCCCTTTGCCGCTGAGGATGCACACAGCTGGCCTTCGACATGCCATTTGCTGCTCTGGGGATGTCCTTGACGCTGCAGCTCGTGTCTTCTGCCGAGCACCTGGAATTGAAAGGTCACATCGTGGATCGTCCCGTTTCTCAGTTTCTCACAGTAAGTACCGCAAAAGTTGATACATTATACAGAAATCATGGTGGTTCTGACACAAAGCACATTGCACATCAATTTGATTGCACATCAATTTGACTTCAGTGTTCCAATCTCACGAAACGGACCGAAATCTCACTCCGTTTTGGGGTTCTCAAGGCAAGCGACCGCGAAAGAAACCGATGTTGCACGGAGATGTTGCACGGAGATGCTGCCAAAACCTATGGTGTTGTTTGTCCATCAATTTGTTTCCTAGGCAAAAAGTACGGAGAACAAACTGCATGATGTTTCGCTGGTACCTGGAGCCTGTGATCAGTGCCATGATGTTCAGCTCGGATCCGGACACGAGCCTGGAAACCGTGCATTTAATAGAACAGAACTGTCAAAACTGTTCCTGGTAGTTGGAATTCGATCCTGGTGCAGGTGACCTTTGTGACAATCAGAAGATGTACAGTAAAGAGTAGCAAAAGGAGCACATCTTCCAAAGATGTGTTCCTTTGTTTCTCCATACATCTTCTCATTGTCGTGTCTTCGGAAAAGTATCATCACCCACGCTTGCGTGAATGCTCCTTGCATAGCGGTGGGCTTGTGAGCGGTCTTCCTTCGGCCTTCCTTCGTGCGGGGGGCGATCGGCTGAGACGTGGCAGCCAGGTGTGTTCGAAGGTGTGCAGGATGACGAGGAGAGTTCATGAACGGAGTTCCGGGCGCCCTTCTGTATCCTTCTGTCGCATCAGTGTCCGGCTCTATCACACGCATCATACGTATGCAGCACCGTATGGTACAGTGGGTTGCGTTTCCGAGTTCTTGAGCTTCATTGTTCATCGTTTTGTGCGGCTGCACATGTGTGGCAATACTTCCCAGTCACACCTTTGGTCATTTTGTGTGATCTCCCATACTTCTTGTGGGTAGTGGAAAGAGGACCCAAAGGTCAACATCAGCATGCAAAAAGACGAGAAGACACGCGGACTCAGATCGACTCGGACTTGGTGTCCTGAGTTCGAGTGGTACGACTTGCTTTCAACGGGCTTCAAGCAGGTCTTGCTCTTTAACACCTCTCGCAGCTGAGTAGACCTCCGAGAGGTGGCGCTTGATTGGATCGAGAGCTTGCTTCTAGAAAGTGTGCGACAAGATCGGGACTCTTCCCAAGGAATCTCCGGGAAGACCCTCAGCAGAAGCTGCTTCATTTGGAGTAGATTTCCCAACAGGCTGAAACGTCAGCATGTCACATTTACACTGGCATCCAAAGAGACCAGTGTATTTTGAAGTTTGGCTGCTCTGGCCTTCGGCCACACAGGCATCGAGGCATACAGAAGCTTTAAGGCTCCATGCAAGCTCTGAATGAATGAGCTGTACCGGTACCATGCTTCTTTTCAAAAGGTCTTGTGTGGCAATATCTTGTTGTGCTGATGTGCCTTCCCCAATTCTTGCGCACGCGTTTTGATTTCTCTCAAACACCATGTGAACTATGCCAATTCTCCACTCACATTTGGGGCATATGGGCGAAGGCCTTCCCGCAGATGCCCAACGGTTAACGCGCACACACACTCTCTCTCTCCCTCCATGTGAAAAACTTGGACTTGCCTCAGGAACCGGTAAAAAGGACTATTCCATGCATTCCCCAGAAAGGGATTCACCCCGCGCCTTCGGGACACATCAACAACCACCCCTTTCTCCAAACCATGTCACCCCGTGGTTTTCAGACGAGAAAACACACCCGTCGAACCCGGTCACTCATCGGCCGCATCGACGTGATCGGTGCATCGAGCATCTTAAGGCCTTCTACAAGGCGCTGGCTGCCGGGAAGAGTGTTCTGGAGAGCCACTCCATGGCCCAATCCTCAGTGCTCCACAGCGCCAACCTCGGCATCCGACAAGAGGCAGATGCTTGGCTGCCGTGAACTGGTCCAGACGAGGTGAGGCCGGTGGGGGGGGGGTTCTGCTTACGTAGCTGGAGGGGGCATCTGCCTAGCTGGGGGGCATATATAATGCATTTCAAGCATACCAAGAGGGGCCTGGTCTGATTCCACGCCGCCTCGCACCCGGCCAGAGCTTGTCACTGAAGGCTCCGACGGCGCTAGGGGTAGACCGACTTGGAACACACCGGGACGCTGGCCCCCGCCCCCACGTCATCGGCGCCGACGGGCCATAAGGAGAAGTTCCGCTATGTCGTCGCCGATCGAAGTCCAGCGCGTTCGAAGGCGGCGCCAGATGCTTGGAGGTCGAAGTAGGAGAAGTGGTGGGTGTGGGTGTGGGTGCAAGGGAGTTCTTGGTGTCTTAAGGAAGCAACATCCGAGACATCAAGGCTCCAATTCTCCAGAAACTCATGTTGGCAAACTCTCTAACTGGAGATGTGGGATTTTGTTGGACCCTTTTAGAGGTCCAAACATCATTCCCAAATAGATAGACATGTTTTCCAATACATTCTGAGTGAGGATCTACTTTTCTATCTATCTGGGGGTCCATATGGTATGCCTGTAGATCAGTACCTAGATCTTCCACCCATGCAACGCTTCTGCCTTTTCATATCTTTTCATCCATAAAATCAGCCAAGTTCGTTAGACATTCTACATATTCTACATAGTTGCAAGATCCAGGTGTAGAACAAGCAGATCCACCCCCCCAAAAATACCTGAACGCTTCGCCTCGGTCGAAGACCTCATCCCGATCCCGAATCGGGATCCCGCGCCACCGACCCTTCAACCCTTCACGGCACACACATGGACATGGACCGCCGTCCACGGCCGAGACGGCGCTGCGCAAGAAGTCGACGTCCTGGACGCTGCCGCCTCCCTGGCCCCGGGTGGAGGACGGGCCGATCGGGGAACGGGACGGAACGGATGCCGGTCGGGGAACGAGGGACCAGTGGGTGAGACGAACGGTGGGGAACGGTGGGGACGGTGGGTCCAACGGCGGTCCTTTTTGGTTCCAAAAAACCCAGAAAAACGGTGTCCAAGGATGGTTGGCGTAGTCGAATTCTTTGGGTTAGGTATGTTCCATCCAAAAAGTAGAAAGCACCCTTTGGCTGGTCGCACGGGTTGCTTCGGTTCAATTCGTGCGACCCGTGGGTCCATTCTGGCGAGCGCTTCGTGCCGTGGGACCGGTTGGGTTGGAAAAGACGAGTGGCCGCGGTCATGAGCATTGCGAGCGACCAACGCACTTAGACTGGTTGAAGCGACCATCACCAGATATCACCGGTATCCTTTTTTCAGAGGTCTGACTCCTTTTGAGCTGGCTTGGTGGGGGTGACTTCGGTTCGGGGGCAGAATGAGCAACTGGTTTTTTCAACTGGGTGGACCTGAAATCTGGAGGGCCTCTTTACCCCGCGCATAGTCCCGCGCGGTGGAACTCATCAGGATTATGCGTCTTGCCGCCTCATTGATAGCTGCCGGATTGCGCATGCGTTTCGAGATCGACGGGTGGTGGTCATCCTCGGAGCTGCTTGGACCGCAGAGTCGCGGGTGAGAGCTCATCGGGATTCATCGGGTGATGGTGGTCATTGGTGGTGAGAACTCGCAGGGAGCATGGAAGCAAAACAAAAGAAAGCAAATCAGGAACAGACGATTCTCAAAAATCAATAGAAGGGATCCGAATGACCGGGGCTTGAATAGAAGACAAACAGATGCGCACAGAATCTGAACTTTGATCAAAAGAGCTGCGATCATCGTGTTGAACACTGAAGTGCCTGAAGAAATTTATGACAAGGTTGGTCAGACCACCATGCACCCTTTTGGATTTAAGCAGAACTGTTGGCAGATACATCAAAAGTAATTGCAAGCAGCAGCCAGCAGTTTCTTATTGCATCAAAACGCTTCAAGGTTTCGTGTATACAGAAGAAACTCCAAAGGAATCATGTTGAGCATGAAACAGTGCTGCAAGTGCTGTGCTGCTCGAAGTATAAGAATACAACATGATGCTATACAATAGAGTTTGGATGCAGAAGCAAAGGAGGCCAGAGAATGGCAAGAGGTGGCGGAACGGCACGGGCACTAGCGCCAGAGAACTATTCTTAAGATCAGTGAGCCACCCAAACAGGGGGCCCTCACTATGGGCTTCTCGTGTTGTTTGGCAGAATGGTGGGTGGGTCGTGACCCGCAGGGCTGGCCATGTCGATCTCTGACTGGGCCTCTCAAAACTCGACCGGATTTAGAAGAATTCGGGCGATGCTTTTGGATGACTCCCCAGAGATGTTCACTTGGTGTTTCTTTTAAACACAGTTATACCCCTTCAAAAGCAAAGAATCCACCGACTCAAAACTCCCACGTGTGTTTATTTTTACTTAAAGAAACTCCATCTTCACCATCTTCACCATCTTCACCCTTCCTCCAGACCTGAGGAGCAGGGCATGGGCAAAACGGCCATGTGTCGTGAATTCTGCGGTCACTTCTCAGCTCCGGGCCGGCTCTTCGCTGATCGGGTGGTCTTGCTGGACGAGGCACTGGCCGGAGAGGCAGAGGTTGAGAGGTCTGCGGTTGGGGATGTACCTAAGAGCGATGGCCTCCAACCGATGATGAGCAAGCTGTTGATCTTGGACTGGCTTGGACTTGACTTGACAGTTGGGAAGCCTTCATCATCTTCCTGGTGCCATGTTTGGGCATGTGTTGCTCATTTTCCAGGCATGATAGGAGGCGACAAGCTTCTTAGATGTTTGAGCACTTCCCTTGCAGCCTCGCTGGCCCTTCTGTCTGCAGGCGGACTTCAAGTCCACAGAGATGGTTCCAGACAAGCTCAAGTATGTGTCCAGCGTGATCTTCAAGAAAATCGATGAGAAGGTCGTTCAGTCGGGCCTCAACTCAAGCACATCAATGGTTGAAGCCTTACATCAGCTGGACCGCCTTGGATTCTGGCTACTTGTGGTGGATGGCCTGTCAGAGATTGCAGATCTGGGTGGGGAATCTCAGACAAACTTGACTGCTTTCCATCGGGATGTTCCTGTTCAGATGTGTTCCAGCTTGCAGAGTGGCCCCAAAGAACATAAACACTAGCGAGGCCGCGAGGCCTGGGGTGAGGTTTGGCACTCACTAAGCATTCTCAATCTCCTCCTCATACGTCACAGTAGCTCGGGAATCCTTCGTTTTCCAGACTCGAACAAAGCCACCCACCCCAAAAACAAAGGCTTGGGCCGGTGCCCAAACTTCCCACCTCTCACCGGTTCCCAAATCGCGGGTCGAACAGCCGATCCCGGCGACCCAAAGGTGGGGTGGGGGCGACGCAATGCCATCTCCAGGTCCCCCATCTGCATACATGAGCAGACATGTATGAACCCCCGGCACACCTTGTGGAGATGGACCGGATGATATGTCTGGCGCATCTGCAGGTCCCGAGATCATCCTCTCCCTGGATTCCGTTCTGAGCACGTCGGGCGCCATGAAACTGCTGCTCACCTCGCGGACACGGCCGCGGCTTGGTGGGCCAACGGCTGTTTGTGTCTGTTGAAACGAATGTTTGCTCTTGGATGCGGAGGGTGGGGGGGTTCTTCTTTCTGACCATGCTGAAGAGACTTTCTGGTGGCCACCGGCCGCCTTCGTTTCAAAGTAGCAATGCCTGGCATGGCGACAGAGCACCGACATTGGTGAACTTGTTGGTGACAGCCATTGCCTACCAACTGCAGATTCATGCCCAGCTGTTGGGTTTTCTGGTGCGTTCACCGGTGGGGGGTCATCCATCCTTTGATGTGTGTACCGAAAACGGTACCTCCCGAACCCCATTTTCTCTGCCTGAACCCATAGTCCAAGCTGCCATAAGATATATAGAGTATTATATATAAAGTATAAACACGCTTGGAGGTTTCAAGTCCTTCTGAGCTCCTCGTCGCACAGACTTTTGTTGCAACTCTTAGTTCGGTGTTCAGCAGTATTTTAGTAACACAGGAAACACTTGCGGCAACAAACCTTGAACCACCTCTGGTTAAAGTGCTTGTACATCCAACAGAGGGTCATCTTCACCCTCTTTGACCTGCCAAAAAACTTGGACTGGCGCGGGACCGGGCCCTTTTTCCCTCGTTGGTTGACTGAGGTCTTTGGAGCGCGCGGGCTCCGGCGGCGGATTTCGGGCTGGGAAGGCCAGGAAGGGCTGGGTTTTGAGACATCCAATGACAGTTTGACACATCTGAAACGGAGGGATGGAATGATACATTGTATGAACTTGGACCTGGGTCATCCTGTCTGGGTGTCCAATAGACTACCCTACACTGCTAGACTGGACCTCCGTTGGACACCCATTGCATGATCCTGGTATGAAGTGGAGAGAACACTCGCTCTTTCGATAGCAACCCTGAGATTCGATTCTTGAAGCTACAACCGTGAAACTGAGAAGCAGCATGAGTAATGAAACATCATGACACATCATGACACAATGTTCACATCCATGACATATGCATGCCCGTTTCTCCACCAGGTGGGGAGAATTTCTCGACCCAAACACTCACCACTCCCACTACCTGGGGAGATTTGAAACATGTTTCGATCATGTAACATCAAATATGTATATATATATATATAACAATATAACATCATATAGCCGGATTCCCAACAACATCCAACAACCATTCTTTATATCATGCTCTTTGAAGGGCCAAGCTATAGGCTATCCGCTATCACCATCGTCATCACCCTCCAGGCCGTGGAGCTTCCGGTGTCGCCCTTGCCACCCACCGCAGCAGCCGAACTCTTCTTCCGCAGGGCCAAGAGGCACCGGGGAGGAGGAGTCGAGGGAGTCGATCTCCAAAGCAAATCGCAACAGGAAAACACTCCGAACATGGGAACCAACAAAAAAGGTCTCTCCCTTCATATATGGGTGAGGATAAGGGAAGCCTGTTTTGGAACCTGAGCACGTGCTGACCGTGGCGTCGAGTCTGAAATCCCCCACAAAATCCAGAGATCCACTGGATGTGGTGAAAAGAGACTCCTGGGATCCTCTGTCGGAAGTCCTGCATGGCCTGGCCCATCTATAGATCGGCCCTGGTCCCTCCGTGGTCCCTCCGCAAATCCCGCCCGCTCCGTCGCTCGCGTTCCGGAACCCTTCCACCCCCCCCCGGCGTTCGACCGATGCCAAGCGGAAAAGCCCAGTCACCGGGGAGAGCGGAGCGTTCACGGGTGACGGTCCGCTGGGCTGAACGAGGCCCCTCTATCCTCAAGACTTCGACTCGGTGGTCACCGTGACACAGCCCTTGCAGTACGAGCCCAGCATCCTGGAGAGGTGGGGTGAAAAGCACCATCCCTTGCCTGTCCGTGGGTCAGTCGCGGAGGTTTCGGACAAAAGGGGAGAATGAGCAGTGGCCTTGAAGGGGCTTGAGGCAAAACAGAACCAGTGAAGAAGCGGGTTTGGTTGTTGTGCAGTGCTTAGGAAGAAGGCCAAGCTTGCAAGGGTTGAACCTGCTGACGTTTGACTTCTTTCCATGAGGCTGGCTGCCAGCCCGTTGCTCCACATTCTTGGAGGCCTTTGTGCTGCTTGTTGTGGTGCGAGGAAACATGTGTATAACCACAAGCTGAACAAACAGTTTTTGAGAGAACAGGCAAGAGATAATCGAGACAAGGATGACTTCTTTCAAGCATGCAGTGTCTTTGACTTCAGTGGCACAATAACGTTCTTGATATTCTTGACATGTATTCTTTTTTGGGGCTGTCCCGGTCCCTTCCATTTTACATAACCATTTGACCTGCAGGATTTCTGCTTCACACAGTGCTCAATACAAATTTCTTGCCAGCGAAGCCCTCTTCATCTCATGAAATACTCCATCCGACCGTTTCTGGTGGACACATGTTGACACCGCCCCATGCGCGACAGCTGCACGACGACCGGTCCAGGCATCCCCGGACGCCTGGCTGACGCGGCTGCGCTGGTGAATAGCGAATTGAACTCCTTGCTCCAACATCCGGCCCTGCCAGCTGAAGCCTGGCATGAGACGTTATCAGCGATGTCTTCGAGTTTGGGGGAGATGGCATTTGGTCATACCACAGAATTGGCAAAGAATCATATAGGTGAGTCCGTGGAGGTCCTCCATAGATGGAAACCCGCTTTCCGATGCTTGGTTCAGGAGGTTCAGGACTCATATGTCACGTTTCTACTATTATATATAATCTATTATATGTAAACAGCACCCTAACTGCAACCTAAAGCTCTGGGCATATTCTAAGTGCCGGCAGTTTACTATTGATTAACTTTTCAGAACTGTTCTATCATATCCGAATGTTGGGGCCACCATCAACACGCTGGTGCATCCACACACCAATCTGAGGACTGGAACATTGTCGACAGCAACTTGGAGCAAGAATGGGTGTGGATTTGTCAGACGGCAGTCTTGTCATCGACTGCCCGGACCGTTGGACACTTGGGGTCTGAGCCAGGTTCTTGACAACCGTCGACTCCTCGGGGCTAGGCGTGGGGGTCTCGAAACAAGATCTCTCAAAGAAAACGATAGAAGCATTCTTGAACTTGGCCTTGTTCGAGGGTCTCAATTCGGCCGGCCGTAGTGGGTAAAAGTAGATGAATCATAGATGATCCATTTTTTTGGATGGGGACTTCTATGCAACCCCTATCCTTCGGGGCTTGTGGTGTCTCCCCGCTCTGCAACACCAGACAGCCAACAACACCAATACGAAACCTCTTCAAGATCGGGATTCAGCGAAGTGAGAAGTGGCTCAAACCAGTCTTGGGTTGTTATTTGCGAGTAATATAACTATATGAGTGACTATGACTGTGGTCGAGTTATGTCGAGTTGTTCTTTTTCTTCCTCAGCAGATGATCATACCCATTTGATAGTTGATTATGTTTGAGCCAAGACGGACGGTCAGGTGCTGATGCAATGGATTTGGAACTACAACCAGTGGGACCCTAAACTTCACGAAGATCACCCTCAGGAGGACTCTGAGAGAAGCGCTGGTCTTGGTGGGTTGCTCTTGCGAGGTTTTGCGCAAAAGACTTGGTGGGTTCATGCGGAGTTCAGCTGCCATTCTCTCAGTTTTTCTGAGAATCAAAGAACCCGACTTGATACTAGAAAGATTCTGGCTCAAGATCCTCCCCGCCTTGGCCGCACTTGTGGCAGGACAACTTCTTCGGCTTTCGCGCACCAGCTTGACCGCCGCCCTGTGCGCCCTCGCGGACCCTCGCGGACGCGGCGACACGAACGCCGGCGCGGCCGGTGGAAGGATGGCGCGATGAGGTTTCCTGAAGCGAAGGATGACACCGGATGCAGTGACACTTGGGGGAGTCCCAACATCTGCCAACATCTGCAGAAATTTGGGGTGCCATCATTATAAACCGCTGGGTTTTTGTTGAAGGGTGCTGGGTGGGTGCTGTCGTGTTTCTTCAGGGACCAGAAAGATGGCTTGTTAAGAGGCAGGTCATCAGCTTTTGAGACCGAATTCAAGAAGTAGGAGGACAATCTGCTGGAGGTGTTTCTCATTCTCTCGGTGGTATTGTCGAGCTAATGAGCTCTGAGTCGTAGCCGAGTCTGCATGAAAAATGAGTGAAAGTTGGGACTCGTTAGGCCTCCCAAACCTTCTTCAAGTGACTCCTTTATCCGTTTAGTCGAAATTGAGCGCGCAAGCCGAAGCGGCCACCATGGTCACGTTCTTCATGGGGCACTGTCACTTGATGAATGGTGATGGACTTTTCCAAAAGAGTGAGCTTTCTTCTTTTAAGTATAAGGGGTAGTGGTGTGTAAGACCGACGACAGCCGGCATTAGTAGATTGATGACACCTTTTGCCAGAGATGTTGCCTTCCCATACCTGCTTGGTGCGTCATAGAGCTATGTCACAACCTTCGGAGAGACAACCTGTCAGTTTTGGTATCAGTCCTCACTGAAGCGATGATGTTTACAAGCAGATATGGTGACTTTCGCATTGAGTAGCTGCAGAAAAGTGCTGAACGAGCCGTTGATCATGTGGTATTTCTGGATCATGGAGCTTCATCAGTGTGGTCTGTGAGCAACAAGACACAAGTCAGATTTCATGGTCTCTCCGTGACGGATTTCATGTGAACCTTGGAATGCACGTGTCACAGTGCCCCTCCTTCACTTGCAGGACCTTGAGTACTCCAGCCCGCTACAACAATCTCCACAAACAGCCAGTGAAGATCTAAAAGCCAGCGATAGGTCAGTGTTGGTGCCACGAACCACTAGGATCTTGATATCGGTTCTTGATCTATTCCAGCCATGCACAGCTCCAATGTGCTGGATGACTTGTTCTTGTGGTCAGCGGCGCAGCCCTACGGCCCTTTGAAGGAGCCTTTCGTATTTCTTTGCATGAGCATGTCATGAGCCATTCTAAACAAGTCATGTTGGCAAGTCCCAGGATCCTGGTCTGCCTTCCAGCCGGGAATTGGACGAGCTGTTCCGAGCGAGCCGAAGCGGAAGTGGCCGAGGTCGTGTCGTGGATTCGGTGTCGCGCACGGTGCGTAATAGAACACTCAGATGCCGGGCGTGCCCGGCGGAGTTGAGGTGTATCATATCACACCCCGTGGCAGAGGACAGACATGGACCCCAAAAGCCCTTTGTGATGACCAGTGGTGAGTAGAGTAAACCTTGGATGCATGGAATAGGAGATTTTAGGATCCGTTCAGGGTCCATCTTGGAGAAAGACCACTTTTCAGGTGGACAGCAAGGTTTGGATGATTTGGCTTTCGCTACTCTTTGGACTTAGTAGGATCTCTCCGTGAGTGTTTGCCCCAACGCTTGCATTTGGCTTGTTGGCTCATAAAAATAGGCCGGGAATCAGGCAATCCTGCTGAACAAATAATGGATGTCGGTGCCTGAAAAATATACGGACCAAAGGATCCCCAGCACATCTTCCCTCCGAACGGACCTTTCTTCACTCTCCCCGGCTGAAGAACCTTTTTTTGGTCCGAGCTGTGGAATGTTTGGTCCGCGAGCTGTGGACATTGAGTTGACGTTTTTTTCGGTCACATCCGATGCATCCGATGAATGGGCCACATCCGCCGGCGAAAAGCCCAAGAAACGCCTTTACAGCTTTGAAACAAGCTAAGAGCCTTTTTGTTAGGAGTTGATTCATTCCGAAATAGATGAACACGAAGTGGCTGGGAGCATATGTTAACACTTGAGCTCGCCCAGGAACTTGTTGAGCCAGCCGTCAAGCCCACCCGCGCTGAAGGCGCACATAAAATCGGTCACTGGAGATGTACACAGATGGACCTCCAACAACCTCCCACACAGAAGGAACGATGGTGCAGAAGGGTCCCTCCAAACAAAGTAGCCGCCTGGTCGTCGATTAAAACGAAGATGCTTTTTTAGTCCAGAGCTTTATGACCGCCTGGCGACACCAGAGGCAGCAGGCAGCAGAGTTGGAAGAGGCAAGGTCCCATGATCAAAGTCTGTTTGATGGACAAGTCTTTTTTGAATTATGTGTTTTATTGTTTCCTTTTTTTCTCAAGCAGCACGCACACGCACACTCACACCAGTAGTTGAATGCAGCGACATGATGCGAAACGCCAGATTTAGGGGCTTTAACACGTGGCAAACACCTCCAGCTGCGACCGTGGACAGGCGGCGAGAAGAGGCGAGGCCCTGCTGGATATGTTGTGGATTCCTCTTGTTCCTAGAACACCATGAGCTCATGTTGCTGAAACACCAAAAATGGGCCGCCCTGAATTTTGACGGAAGCTGCAACAGCATGCTCTCGTCCACCATGGCTTGGGCTTGGGTCACCACGTCCGCTTGTGACATTCGCTTCTCAGAGGTTCTTCGCTTCGCCTCACGACCTCCCAGGATGGAGACGGTCCCGGCGGTCCTCCCAGGCGGTCTCCGGCACGTCGCGCCGCACGACTCGTTGCTCCGCTTGTTAGCACATTCGCCACCCGCCGTGGCGTGACACCACGGTGCGGCGGTGTCCACGCGTCCGGCCAGGAGCCTCGGGTGCCAAGAAGGCCGTTGCAGCAGCGGGGAGTCGGTGTGTGTTTTTGGAGCATGGGCAGGGTGGAGCAGGGCAAGGCAGCGAAGCTTGATGGGGCTGACCGAACCTATGATCGATCGATGATCGATGATCGATGATGTGATGATGATGATGATGATGATGATGATGATGATGATGATGATGATG